CCTCAGCACTTCTGTTTCCAACCAATTTAAAAAACCAAACCAAAAGCCACAAGACTGCTCCCAGCCTGCCTGGCTGGTGTTTAATACTGCTACTCCATCAGGGTTGGAGGGAGACCTGTTGTGAATGGCAACAGCTTGCGCCGTGCCCCCTCCAGCTGCGCTGCAGAACAGCGCAGGTGTCGCGGGAGGGCAGGGGGACGGGAAGGCTCAGACCCGTTACCAGTCAAAACGTCGCAGCAGCAGGGAACTCCTGTTAGGAGAGAGCAAGCTAACTTTGCGCCCAAAGCTCTCGCTCTCTGTGCTTAAGGCCGAGTCAGGGACCCTTCTGGACTCTTCCCAGGTTTCAGAGGATCACCGGACAGAAATACGTGTCAGTTATAAATACATCATGTCAGTTGTGGGGGAGAGGGGGGCACAGGGAAGGGACAATTCCAAATGGGTGGAGGGAAGAGAGAAAGGAACGAGACATCTCACGTTTCCAGCACTGGAAAGAACAGTTTTGACCTCACGCAATAAGTCACTGGACCTTTTCAATAGTCTTGTCTGGCTTATGCCCCATCATCTTTAACACATCATCAAAGGGAATGTTGGCTGGCAAAGGGTTAACCAATCCCACACAGTGGAGAGCCAATCTGCAGCCTGCTGGGAAGGTCCCCACCACATCACTGCCGATCTCAGGATCCAACTCGAAGGAAGGAAGCAGCTTCTCGGTCTCACACGTCACTCAGGGCCTGCAGACAGGCAGAGACAAGGTGTCAGGACAGACCTGCTGCAGCTCCACCAGACCTCAGCAGAAACACGGCTCCGAAACACTGCCGTGGCACTTGCCTTCACCCCCAGGACACTCTGAGGAGGTGCTTTTTTGGAACCTGCAGTTGCACCCCAGTTAGGGAATGGCAGATCGATGCAGAAATACCGACCATCCCTACGGAAGGCAGACTGAACTACCCTAAAGCATCCTCTTTACCCTCTGTTGTGTGCAAGAAACGACAGCCGTGTTTCATCTAAATCTCCTGGAGCTTTCCAATGGCAAACACCAGTTCTGCAGGCTCCTGGAGTTAGTTTTGGGAGGTGAAGGAGGAGTCATCTGCCATCAAGCTACAGGACATCAACCCAAAGAACTGTTCCAAACTGAACTCCACTCTTAGCAGAGTGCGAGTCGCTCTGGGATGTCGTACAAAACGCTGTCCTGCTCCGACGTGCCCGCAGAAGCCTTTAGGGCTGCAGGAAACCCTCAGTCCTGTACACTCCCACTCCTGCCCAAGAAAATTCCTACCTCATCCTCGATGGAGGAATAGCAGCACAGCCTCGCTTACCTTCCGTGCAAACTCTGGCAGAATGAAAGCTGCCCGATGAATGTCAGAGTTGTAGTATTTCAGACTCCTCTCCTCTACCTGCTGCTGTGAGAGCTGCTGCACAGGCTCCCGGAAATTCGTGTTCTGCAGAAGAGGAGACAGGTAGCTCTGTAGTGTTCGGGTAACGAGCCAACAGGCATCCTGACTCACGGCAGAGAATCGAGAGGACTCGCAGGGAACGGATTTCTGTGCTAGCATGAGGTCAAAGGTTCTGTACAGCTCCAGCCCCAAGGGCCGGCGTTTACGCTCCGTGTCTCGCGTGACTAGCCCTTATTCACAGACGTCAGCGTGAGCTCAGCCTGCACGCCAGCCACGTGCCAGACAAAGCTGTCAGGCCGCGCCTGAGCATCTGAGTGCAGTCGTCTGCTCTCCAGAGCAGAATCCACACCTGCACTACGTCAGTCAGGCACAGCGCACGCTGCCGGTGCCCCAGATAAAGCAAAGACAGCAGGAGTGCCACCGGCTCCCTGAACTGGCAGGACAGTTGCGTACAGACGCGCTGTAATGCAGCGGACTGGGAAGAGAGCAGAGCTCTGCCGTCTGACACAGCTACCAGCTCACAGCCTAACGCTGACTGGCGCTCGGAGACCTCTGCTCGAGCTGATTACCAGCAGCAGGCTGATTCTTATCAAACAGGTGCTCACTTTAGAACAGCCAGCACCTGCAAGGCGAAGCCTTAACAGGCTCTGGAAATTGGCTGTGGCTTCCAAGTTCGTTGTACCAGAGAGAAACCCACGTCCTTTCCTAAGGCAACCGGTTACATCAGTGGGCGACGCAGCACTGGGCAAGCTGCGGGGCAGCTCTGGGGCCCTGGGCTGGTGGAACCAGGGCGCAGCATGAGGCCCCGCAGCCGGGAGAGCTCAGTGCCACAGCCCCAGCTCTGTACGGGACAGCCCGCGGCAGGCTCTGTGGGTGCTCGCAGGGAGTGGGAAAGGGCACTTCAGGTGCCTGACACTCACTGGGTTCTTGCTGCAGAGCATGAAGCCAATCTGCCCGCTGGGATATGTGGGGATGGTGCAATAGGCGTATTCCACAACAGGGAACAGAGACTTGCAGAACTGACGCATCTCCTTAATGAGATCCAGGTGCAGCCACTGGCACTCACCTGCAGGGAGAGAGGAAGACAGGATGCAAGGTGAGAGCTGCCCCTCTTCTCTGCACAGGCCTGTGCTGGGTGAGCAGCAGTTCCAAGCCCAAACCTGCTCTACTCTGCACAGCTCAAAAGCAAGATAAGACCCTTACGCCAGTTTTACTAAGAGCAGTCCAGCGGTTAACGAGCTGATGTACACAGATCAAAACCGCTCCTATACCTGGGAGCTGAAACGGACTTAACTCCCTGCGTCACGTCTCCCCAGGAGTCCCCTTCGTGCCTCACGCTGCATGCGGTGACCTGGCATCAGCCTCTGCCCGGAGGCAGCATCCTCACCTTGGCAGCAAAGGATCCCGTCTTCTCGCAGGGCTGTCTTCATCAGCTGGTAGTAAGATTCTTTAAATAAGCTTTCTGCAGGACCTGGGAGAAAAGTGAGTACAGAAACGTGTCTACAGAGAGACTAAGACAGTCAACTTCCCAGGATTTCCCAATGGCCCAGGCTGCACAGGGACTGCACGGGAAAAAGAGACATTTCAAACGGCTTTTCAGTGATCACAGCAACAACTTTCGCCCCTGGGTAACCCCAGCCTGCACTCAGTACTGCAGAACCACCAGGATTTTTGCTCTGCTCAACAGCAAGCCCAGAACCTTCATCAAAGCAAGCCCCAGCCTCTTGCTTCGGGGAGCATTTTTAAAACCGAACGCCTGCTCCAAACTGCCTTTGAGAGATGTCTCTCTGCTCGACTACAGCAAGAGCGAAGGTGACTCAGGCACTCGTCGTTAGGTCCCAGAACTACACTTGCTCCCTCTCTACCTCGGATTTCCCCTTCAGAAACACAGCAACCTCACTCCAGACGTCTTTAGGCTACGTATCTACACGACAGTGTGCAGGCCACTGCTGCCTCAGCGGACACGCGCAAAGAGGCCTTTGCCAGCGTGGTGCCGTATCCCCCGTGGGATTACTGGACTCAAAGATCAACTCTGCCAGAAGCAATGGCTGCTGGAGTTGAATTTTAAGACAGAAATGGGACGGCTGGCTCGAAGCCTTACTAATACAGTTTTCTGGTCTTCATCCTTCCCCTTCTCTACCAAAGGAACCGAGTCAGTGACGGTCCGTTCAGCCGAAAGGAGCCTGGGCAGGCTGGCATTACCGTCAGGAGACAGGCAGCAAAGGAGGAAGAGTGTGGAAAGCCGTAAGCTTTTACAGCCAGAGCTCTTACCCATGGGGTCAGATGAGTCCGTGATAATCACGTCAAAAGCTTCTTGATTTTGTTTCATGAACTCAAACCCATCTCCCACATGCAAGGTCAGCTTAGCGCTGGAATACCCCACTGCCATCCCTGGGAGGTATTTCTTGGATACCTGGATGACGTCCTGCAACACAGAGAGCACAAGTGGGTCAGCGGGCACTACCAGGAGCTACTTTCAGGCTACTGTGCAGCTGCAGCTGAAAGAACAGCACAGTGAGTCATTTCCTTCCACGCCTTCAGCACAAATCCGACTCGCTGGATCCTCAGGAGCTGTCAGCATCTTCAGCCAACAAGCTACGCTCAGCCCTTTCCTATGGCCTCAGGGTTCAGTGACACTGTTGTCTGGCCTTGCCAAACTCAACAAGAAGAACTTGGAGCTTCAAAAGCTCTTTGAGGAACCAAGGGAATACGATTACAGAGCCGACTGCTCCGTGTTCCTTTTCCCTGCAGACATCACTTGCAGAGGTGATCTCAGCTAAAGACGACTTCTTCCTAACTAAACCCACGCCAACAGGTTTCTGGATACAAGATGGAGAATATCCCTGCCTCTGCTCCACAGTCGCTATACCAAATCCCCGCGAAGACACGGCGTCTCCGTAGAACAGTTCGACGGACACTGCCCTGGGCCCGGCAGCTGTACCGACCGCTACCCGCTTCTCACGGCTGGCAGGACAGTGAAACACGCCGGCGTCCGGCAGCGCATACGGCTTCGCCTGGCAGAGCACGCGGACTCATGGAGCGGCGTTTCCCAACCCTAACACGGAACTTGCCGAGAAAGCGAGATACCAGGACAAACTGACCGGGAGGCGCAGGAGCCCGTCTGTCACGGAAACGAGTACCCCCTGCTTATTTCCTGCTGGCGGGAGGCTGATAGCAAAGCGGCCCCCCTCCTCGGGCCAGGGCAGCGAG